TTTTAATCTAAATTATACAAAATTTAGGAAATTGTAGTGTAATTTAAGGTAATATTATTATTGAATAATTGAAATTTCCGTTATTCATTCATGATAAATTTAACTAAATAAAAATTCATATTGTTAAAATAAAATAATGTGTAAAACATAATGTAGCGTAAATTGGAATGTTTCATTGTAAAATAAAAAAAGGTATTTAATTAATTAATAAGTTAATAACTTTTGTAACTATAGTGAAAAAATAGGGTGGTTTGCATTAATATTAGATATAACTGGTTGATGACTGTACCACCTCGGTCAACCGTGACCATGGGACCTATAAAGGGCCCAAAACATTGGTTTGTTTGAAAAAACAAATATACGCGATTTAAACCCGGAAAAATAGTTTCATTTCCTATGTGTAACAATAGCGAAAACCTAAGAACTCGATAAATATACAATACTTACTGTGGTGTATAAGTATATATTATTATGTATACAAAGGAAATAATTACAATAAAAAAGAAATTAATAAAAAAAACATATAGATAATATGTAAAGCACAGATGAATCGAAGTATATCAATGTGCATGCCAATTACTAACGAAAAATTTAATGAGTAACAAAATTTCATAGTTTCAAAATTGTAATTACCGAATGATGTCAGTGGCAAAACGCGTCTTTCTTTCAACTCACGTGTTTTAACAAGTGTATTACTAAAATGATTAGTCATGTGGTGAATTTTGTTTAAATAACACATACACACACACACACACATACAAATGTTTTAATAATATTGCCAATGCCTAACGATCTCCCACGAATCGAGTCTATTTAGAAAGTTCTCAGGCATAAGACAAATAATGTTATTTGAAACTACTACAGTATTAAGAATGAGCTTAATTTACAATTTTTACGGAAAATATTTATCTATATAGTTCGATTTAGAATCATTCTCTATGACGTCATTTAATTACATCTTTTTCCTCAGAATTGTTGTAAGGACGAGCTTCGAATTTTGAGTGTATATTAAAATTACAATTGTCAGATCATTCCTTACTGAGTTTTAAAGGTCATCCTACATTGTCTGTAGTGTAATATGTTTAAAAATAAAAACATTGGGGAACACAAAGTACGTACAAGAGCCTTGTACAATTAATTTTATTTTTATGTTGTAATGTCATTGTGTCAGATGTTCTTTTTCAAGTATTGTAAAGGTTTCAATGTTAAGTTTCGCATATTTGTAAAGTGTTTACATGTAGGCCATAAAAGTGGCGCAACAAGTATTTTAACATACCTATATTTATAATGTATGAAAATGAATTTTCAAGATTCGAGGAAAAGTATATATATTGCAAATTTTGACATCCATTTTCTCCCATAAATTTTTATTATTAGACTTTTGCTGTCACGAAGGGCGACTCATTTCGCGTGTATTTTCGAATAAGATCCAATCTATTGAAAACGTGTGTAAATTATACAAGTCATTGCAAAAAGGTAGGCAAATGAAGGACTGTATACAAGGTCATGATCAAGGTTAGTCAGGACAATCACTTATCTAATGACAGGCAGTTAAGCGATTTTCAATTTTATTACGTCTATTTTGGGGTATGATTGACTCATTACAGCTGTATAAATAGTTGTCAATACGCATCAGTAGTACTGCAGAAATGACAGAAGCTACATATGACACTCACATATCATTTAAGGTATTTGAACGCAAGCCTAGGTTTTGGGAGGCGAGGTGTGGGGCAGGGTTGGAAAAAATCATCATTTTATGAAAAAATCGAATAAAGCACGATTTTTTGATAAAATCCTAATTAATCACGATTTTTTTGATTTTTTCATTTAATCATACAGTTTAACTATACTTTTGCGTAAAACGTAGTAATGTAAAAAATTAATTAATCATGTGGTAGATTAAAAAAAATGTGACACTAGAGTGGTGGATGTCACAGAAAAATATATTTAGTGAAGAGGAACAGTCATAGATTTTACCAATGTTAAGCAATTGTTTGGAGCTTCTTCAGCTGCTGGGGAAAGAGTGTTTTCCACCTTTGGAATTGTTCATAGTAAATTACGAAACCGACTGAGAATTGAAAAGGCTGGCAAGGCTTAATTGATTTCTCAGATCATAGTCTTTAAAATATAATTGTCTGATTTTATGTGGATTTCTGTGAAAGAAAATAAAATTAAACACATTTGATGAAATCACTGATTTTTATTGAAAAAATAATTTGATTTCAATCACGATTTAAATCAAAATGATTTAATCGTGCCAACCTTGGTGTGCGGGGGAGCTGCACCTCGCATTCCACAATTTGCGCTTAAAATTAATATGAATAAACAATAACAGGCGGAGAAAATTTTACACAGATCCGACGTTGACAAGCGCCTGATGGCGACTGACGGGACAGCGGGCGGCGTGGCGTGCCGTTAAACTGCTGGACAATTTTCAAGTTTTGGGATGAATGTGAATTTAATAACTACAGGGGAAGCCCTGAAGAGTTTAAAACCAAAATTTAGGAGGTTCTCTGTACTATTTAAAGAGAAATATCTCCATATAAAAATTATGTGCAAAGTTAGATATTGTACTCTTAAATAATTCGTTTTAGACTTTTATTTTCGCCTATTTTCGGGATTTTATATGATCGAGTAAAGTACATCCTATCATGTAACGAATTAGCACATTCTTTATACAATATACTTAGGTGTATCGCATATTTTTTATAAGACCTTTATTCAATGGTAAATACGTAAACCATTTGATCTAGCAAAACAGTTTTTGCCGCTTCTTTTCCGGTGACTCGCCTTAATAGTCACACAATAATTTCTAACTCTTCAAAGTCTGACCATTAGACCATGTATGACGAGCCATTATGGCCAGTATACCATTTTATATTCTCACTTAACACCCCATTATCACGAGGGTGATTATCACCCCTCTCGAGCAACTGTCCTAACTAGACTTGGGGAAATTTTCACCGCACCGCATTTTCGTTTTAGCGCTTCACATTTTTTTCAGCGTCAGTTCCATAAATCGTTTGTTATATTGATACATAAAATCGGTAGTATATGACGTGGTCGTAAGTCTTATTAAATTGGGACATATGTCAGATACGGCAGTTAGTGAGGAAGGAACTGATATATGGGCGGCAGTTCGTAAATTTAGAGCTAAATATGTTGAACGACAAACAAGTTGCCATTTTTTCAGCCATTGCTATCCCATTGCAGGGCAATGAGTTCCCTTTCTCTACTTATCGCGATTTAATGTTGCAAAAAGCTAAGATGTCGTATTCTTTCCAACCAAGTTAAATTCCATTAGCCTAATTTATTTTTCAACCTTTGCTCCTCAAGTTTTTCAATTCGCAACATGTCTTTTTGTTCTACTATAGGGCTATTTTTGTATTTAATTCTGATGTGCATTACAGTTTCTATGATGCATTTCGTTCATTCGATAATTTATAATAATGGATCTTTTGGATGCCTGCCCATAACCAATTCACAATTCTAAACCTACTACAATTACTCAAGGCTATGAGTAGTTATGAAATTCAGCTGAATACATGTGAAGTTAACAACTCGCAATAGCAATAAACTCAGTTCTTAAATGACACCCACACCCAGCAGTGGGACAAAAATGGGTTGATAAAGTATTCAATTTCATAATAACACTTACACAAATTGGAAATAAAATATTTTATTAACAAGTTATGTGACATAATGGCTACATGGACCTCACTCAGATTCTGATTTGTGGCCAGGTTGATTATTGACTTGTTGCAGTAAATAAGCAATTACTGTATAATCCAGATTACTATCCAGAGCTGTTCTCAAAGATACAAATTTTCGTGTTACGTTAACACCTGAAATGAGTAAAAATATCGAAGTTCTCAATTTAGAACAAGTTACGCCGGTAATTAACGAAAATACTAATTTCTATGGCCATGTGCCAACATTGCAAGTGAAATGGTACGTATGTTACGTGGTAAAATATAAGTGTCAAAAATTTAAACACTGCAAAACAGAGTGATAAACATTTTAGGCATTTATTTATAGAATATAATGATAGCATTGACGGTTGAGTTCGTAATTCTGTGACATTCTCGAACATCACAATAATTAATTTTCATTACAGCACAAGCACGTGCTTTAATAGATGTACTTGTAGCAAAATTAGAATAAAATAAATTGAGTTCTTAGGTTTAGTGATTGTTAATCATTCATGTCATTCACGTTAACAAATATTATGCAAAATCAAATATACCCAATACAGGTATGAAAAAATAGTTTTATTCAATCAATATAGTAATACCGTTAATAAATCCTGAGTATATTTGTTAAAATTTAATTAATTACAGAGACAAAATTGTAAAGTAAATAGATATTTGTGCATGGCAAGGGGATGTGATTTTTGCTACGTGTACGTAGTAATGCAAGTGATCATATCTGCTTGTCACAAAGTTAATTAATTATATTTCTATTCTTGGTAATTTGTGTTGTAGCATCATAATGTAAAATCAGTAACAGGTAAAATAGATATTAAAATTTTTGAGCATGTTGTCTACATTTTTTCTTATCAGAAATTTAAGATTGATAAGACAAGTATAAAATAACAATTTATCAGATTTCACTAATGATGATAATGAATAATCATTACTTTAATTACAAAAACTTAAATTTAATTTCAATATCATTTGTCAATAATAACACAAAATAAATGTATAGTTGGAATCTTTAAATATAATTTAAGAAAAATTATATTACGTAATAAACTTTTTTTATAACTAGAATGTTTGGTTTCTAAAACACTTTTATGCTATTTTGAAATTGGTATAGTAAACGTCATTTCCATAAGTCATTGTTGAAAATTTGAATTTATTAAACTTTGGAGAGCAGTTATCTTTAATGATAACAATAATTTTGTGAGAATAAAAACGCAAGGTGGCTTGATTTATGTATCTAGGAAGTATTTTTATAAACAAAAATATAAATAATACTTCAAAATAGTAAATACTCACTTTGAAAACTTCAGAGAAGAAGCCGGAACCAATCTTCTCCAGAGTGAAGTCGTCAAACGGGTACAGAGCAGCTACAGCTGTCCGCAGAGCTTTGCACGAGGACCCGGTCACTCGCCTGTCCCCTAACTTCTCCCCCTCACTGACACTCGACTCCTTATCACAATCATCATCACAACACACCGCACGTTTCGTCCTGCTGCCATTTTCCTCGCGAAACCTCCTGCCGGTCTTTGAGTGAGGGCCCCTCACGAACCTCCCCGCTTTAGCAGTCTCATCCAAATTAGTAAAACTCTCCGCTATCTTCAGCACCTTCGTAGGTTTCCGCCGCTCGAACCTGCTCTTATCCACCTCAATCGTACACTCGTCTTGCATTATAGCTGACAACAAAGCTATTCTCTTTATCCCGCTTCAAACATTATGCCTCAAGTATCCCCCAGGCTACACCAAATACACAAATCCAACATTTCTCACGTCCACAACACTGTCTAACTGGCGGTACTTGAAACTATGCGAAATAACATTATAATCACACAAAAACGAAGTCGATTTTGCGACTGTCACTTTCACATATTTGTACACATCCTCGTATTATTGGCACGGCTTATAGTTTCTTTTGATTTGTACAGAACACTTGAGTTTATTTATCCGATTTGTATGTTATGCGACAGGTATTCTTTCAGATAAACATTCCAACTGACCGACGACGCGCATTCAAGCAAGCAAAGTAAAGAAGCAAGCGAGAAACACACACCTAGAATTGACTTGACACTGACAGCAAGATGTTGGTAGCGCCGGTACATCCTTCACTCGGTTGGCAGTACTGTCATACGAATGCGTTCAAGTTATTATTTGTAAAAACCGATTTTTCGGTAGACGCTAAATAACGTACAGGCACATGTTATTTTTCTGTCTATAAATCACACAAAAGCCCAAATATCTCATGTAATTGGACATATTTAAGTAGTTTATTCATAAATCTTGCCAAATTTTGCTTTGGTTTCTTCAGATTGCCTGTTTGTTTGTATATTTTGATGATTGTTGTTAACGATTATTCTGAGATAGTAAAGTTCTTGGAAGCGTACATTTTATCGATATTCTGTTATTAAAATAATTCACTACGTCGTTTTTATTACTTTATTATTATTATTTTTACTATTTCAAAAGAATGGTTGGAAATCATACCGCCGTATAATAGTGCCGAATATAAACATTGAATCAAAGACCATCTTCAATTTTATTCGCTTCATTTTGAAGAGTCAAATTTTAAAATAACTTTGAATGTAACTAGATTACATGATATAGCAATTCCATCATTAGGTTTATTGGTAAATAATTTTATATTTAATTTAGATTAAACAAGGCTCATTTACTAGGCATTCTCTGTTCCTCAAAAGAAAATTATCCACTCGTTTCCGATTTTTTCCCACTGACAACTCTAACTACTAAAAATTCTTATTTTATAAAGTCAGCAGTACAAAGACCATGTTGGTCTAACGTTGCCGGGTGAAGGCCAATACCGACGTACAGACAGCCTATTTGCCTTGCCTTGCCTAGAGTGAAGGCAAGCGCGAACGTATGTAGAGCTCGTTTGACGTGGCTTGTCACAACTCGCAGTCGCTCGTGACTACTTGTCTCACTTCGGAGCAGTGTCGATTTTTCTGCACAAATCAAAGGCGCTCGGCCAATAGTAGTCAACTGACATTGTATTATCGGACATTTGCATGCTATTTAATATATTGAAACATGTTTATACTACCACTGTCTCTTGTTACATCTCCTGTTGTACCATGTTTTAAGCAAATAAACGTATGATAATAATATTATTATTGATAATATTACTACTTTTATTTATTTCCAAAATTAAATGGAAGTATTAAAGATTTACTTAAATCAGTCACTGATATTAATTCTATACCAATGCATAAATACAAAAAAGCTTACACTATTTGGAATCTGTTTAAAAAATGTCTCTAAGATAATATGATCTTGAGATTGGAAATGATTGTGGATTTATATTTCAAAGGTTTCTCTTTTTTATCTCTCTAAAATTACAAAATATTAATTTTTTCTGTTTAAATTCGCTTTTCGTAATATTTGAGTATTTGTAAAAGCAAAACAATAAATTCAAAATTTCATGTGACGTTCTCGGATATTCCCATTTAACCTAAAATATTCCCAAATGGAATATTGATCTACTTTAATTAAATGTTTGCATGTCGATAACGACTTATCGATAGATTATGGTACAACACTAAAGAAATCCGCCATTTGTTCATTCAATTTTTGTTTAGGTATGCACGTTCATTCTGTAGTTAGGGCAACTCCTTTGTTTTTGTATGTAAGTACTAACTTGTCATTTGGATATTCCAGTTGGCTTTCAATCAGTGCAAGAACTTCCATTGTCGCTTCCTTAGATAAACGAAATCTAGTTTTAAAAGCAGTTGCATCAAATTCCTCGTAATAATTCCGACGAGTTGCAAAAATCCGAGGCATCTTCGTTGCCCTTTCAATGGCTTCCAAATCTTCAAGCACGTTCAAATAGTTTGATTCGAAAATAAAATCAAATGCGTTGTTCATTTTAAATAAAATTATTTTTGTTTACTTATCGTATTTTCGCAAACAAGCAAGATTTTGTAGCAAGACAACAAACTGAACTCAACTGTCAAAGTCTTAATCAACAGATAATCAAGGTTGGAAAGGTCCGTTAACTTAATCAACTGATTAAATGCAAAAATCGCCGTTTAGGATATGGTGAACATGACAATATGGCTAATCAGCAGTTAAGTCGCTCTAACGGCTGGTTAAGCCGTAATTGGCTGTTATAAAAAGTCCGTGAACTCGGACCTAAGGCGTAGACGGAGAAAACTGAAGTTAGTGAATTTCTTGTCATTGGGCATGGCGATAAATGACATTATTTTTAAGAGTAGGAAAAACAAAAACAAACGTAAGTTTCGCTTTCTTTATTTTATAATTCATGCTGACGACTATTGTACTTATATCTAATTTAAATGTACTATATCACACAATTGAAACATAATGATTATTAGAGTTAGAAAAATTCGCTTAAAATATTTGTGTTTCAGAAATATTTTAAAGCGAATTTCTCATAAATCTTTCCTCCTTGTTCCAATGTTTACTTGCTATTTTTTTTACGAGATTCTGCCTTCTTATTGCTGCTGTTACAAATTAAGAGGCTATTTATATTTTTTAACGTATTTTCAAGACAATTTATGGAACTTGGAGTTAGTTTATTGTTCATTGCGGGATCAACGTGTTTTTGTCCAATACCGTACATTTATTTGTCATTATAACTTTCATATTATTATGACTTGGACGATTTTGTGGTTTCCTGAAAAATGTACATGTAAGTATACTATACGGCTTCCGGTTGCTCAGATGATCATCTAAACATTTAATCGCGTCTTAGCAAGTAATTGTGGAATGATCGCTAATTAGTTTTTTTTTTCAAGACTACTTTGCTTAATATACTTTTTTGTTGAGTACTCAAGAAGAAAAAAAACTAAGCCATCTACCCATTCAGCTTAGTACAGTCAGTATGAAAAGTCATTTAACAAAAGATTTCACAAGAGCAACACAAATTTTGAAAAAGGGAGCAATTGAACAAAAGATTTAAATATTTTTAAGGTGACATGTAAGTTCAATAGGACTTTATTGGGGCATTGATATTGATGTCAAGTTATCATGAAAATTACCAGCTAATATTGATGTAAAAATGTTGGTACGTCAAACCGCAACAAGCAAAAACCTCAAATAATCTCTCAGTGACAATATAAAATAACAACGCTAGCTTCATTATTCACAAATGTCTACTAACTATTAAAAATTTAACGCTCAATAGCTATAAATACAAATATATTATTGCTGTCGCGATTTTTATTATCTAAAATTAATCTTAACTACATATACATTGATCTCAAAATGAGTATTCGTTTCTTTTACTTATATATATATATCTTAACTATCTTACCTATATTAGTATTGCTTGGATAAGGAAAACAATGCTTTCCTTTGAAAAGTCGTAACAAATACGTACAATAGTTATTAAGCGACCATTAGATGGTGCAGTAACAAACATCTACCGTAGATTTGGAAGTATAAATCAATATACGAATACTACATGCTACAAATCAGTATGAACACCAAAATATACAACTAAAAAATATAGTAGAAACACCCAAACTTGGAATTTAAAGAATATAATATCAACTAAATGTTAAACGCTAAATTATTCTAACTACGCGATAACCACCGTTAAATAGTTTTGTACATTTCGAAGCTTCTCGAGTGAAGAGTTTTCAGTAAGATCACTAAACCATTTAATTAAAAAAAGTTTATATTCCCGTATAAAATGGGAACGCATTTTTTTCACTCCTTTTCTGTAATAGTATCTCAAAATACTCAAAATATCCAGGGGTATAATCACACGTATCTTTAGTATTCCATTAGATCTAGTCGCGCTCCATGGGAACATGGGAAGTTATATAAAATGCTATATATTACATACACCTATCTTGAAAATAAAATAAAGTATGTAGTTAATTATTATGTTAATTATACATAAATATGAACGCATCAAGTTATATAAAAAGAAGCCGGAAAAGGGGCATTATTCATTACATTATCCTGCATTGCAGTCCGTCTTGCCGTACGCCGCGTAATGCAGGATTATGAATTGTATAATTGTATCGTATCCCATTATGTGCATGTACAGCACTATAATGTTAACTCATAGGAAGTAGAGTGATCTTACTGAAAAGCGAAGTAAACTAATTTGTAGTGATGATGTTAGAAAGAGCTAAATGACTAATAACAAATGTATAGAGTTCAGTAAAAATTATTTTGAATCCAGTCTTAGAAGCCGATTTCTTTCTATAGCTAAACTATTATGATTTAAATGATAGAACTCTAAGGGTCGTATTCTAGAACTCTACTTAATGCTCAAGTAAGGATTTGAGTATGGTTTAAAGCACTCGAAATCATACTAAGTCCCTGCGATTAGGGTCGTATTTCCTGTGCTTGAAATCATATTCAGATCCTGACTTGAGCATTGAGTAGAGTTCTAGAATACGACCCTTAAAGACAAATGAACTATAACAGCACCCTACGTTTGAAAATTGTGCTTAAGACTGAATGGTTTTTGTGATATTTATGGCAAATTATGAAAATAATCGTTTAAAACATGAATATTACAATAAACTTACTATTATAACAGTCTACGGCTATGTAGACAGTCGGAAACATCATAAAACTGTCGCAACAAGAAACAATTTTCACAACCATACGCGTCTTTCTGTCGACCTCTTGTTTTAAATTCTCTTTTTGATACTAGACCGGACACCACCTCTGTTTTTTAAATTAATGTGAAAATGTTAATTCAAGGTGAATACCGACTTGGACGTGCCAAAAACGTTTTAGAGATGTTTTTCCTCTGTGGCACGCGAGATTTTATATGTTATTGACTCGTTACCGTGTAGGCAGCGTGTTATGATTTTTTCTATATCTATGGTTATGATAACGACATCACTAGGGATTAGTTGCGTAGATATGGTATACACAAGTCCGTATCCACTTTTATCAGAGTTTTTGGATTGATCAACGATTAGCATTTGATTCGTTACTATATTGTGTACGAAGCAAATTCTACCACAAATGAGCGACGAAATAAAATAATCTACTAATCAGCGCTGCGGGCACGTTAGGCATCTCGTAATTATTTTGATATTTATGTAAATTATCTTGCAGTTGTTTAAATATACCTAATCGTTAAATGTAACGAAATAATTATATTTTCGAGGGTCATGGTTTAGCAAAATCTGTAGAAATAATCCAATGTATTTAAAAAAAATACAATAGTGTTGTTCCTTTTTTAAGAAATTGACTTACCACGGAACTTCATACTAGTTCAAAATTGTGTTTACAGCATCTTATTGACACATTTTGTTTATATGGAACGCACTAGCAGACTACAGAACAACGAAAACCAAATAATTTCTGTTAGAAATAATGACTAAAAATGCTGTACGTTGATCACCAAAAACAAATTAAACTTACTGAGATAGTAATATAATTTTAAAATAACGAAGCCTCTCATTAGTTATAATTTGCACTTACGTTTACATTTCGGTGGTGAAATAAGCCACTTGATTCATTATGAATAAGGTAGATACCATACTTAAAAACGAAATTTCATACAAATTAATAATTTTAGTAAAAACATTCATAAAAATTGAGAAAAAATTCTAAAGGCTTGTTTATTACATAGGTATGGTCATGGTATGATCTCTACCTTACACATCAATTTACAGCGAAACACCCGGGACACCGATCGCGAATAATTTTCATGTAACATCTTCTTTCACAGAGCTACATAAGTAGTAGTGGAAAGTTTGTAGTTTGATATGAACAGTCAATTTTTTAAGGTCAACAAAAAAAAATCATAAAGATGAAGTTCTAATGATGTTCTTCTTTTTCTTATCATATGAATAGCGTACACTCATTATTGAGGCCCATAACTGATCCCGCCGATGATGATGGTGAAACGATTTGCCCATTGCTGAAAGGTACACGCCGATTGTCGTCCAGGGTAGGCAAGTTCAACTTGGAACATGAATTTCTTTCCTCCTCTCGTGTACTATTAACATTTGCGTCGTATTAGATTTATAGATAATAATTAAATTATCACGGTAATCACGTGCCCCTGGTTATTTCAATTTTTCGCCTTTATTTCTTACTTTAGGTAATTTAGTTTAGGTAATATGATAAAAATGTAAAACAGTATAGGTTAGGTAAGGTATACAAGATATAATATGTGCAATACAATATCTATTCAAAATGAGTTAAGGTTAGGTATCTAAAACTTTATAAAAATCATTAAGAGTTCGAATGGGGATGAGTTTATGATTTGAGGCGGTTTAGGACTATCTATGATACACAGTTTTTCGTCACAGTGTGATATAATTATATCGTTTTATATCTAATTCAAAATGTACAGTCTCAAACAAAAACGAAACTTAAAACGCAAAAAGTGTAGCTAATGTTCTAGAAAATTCTTAATAACTAAAAATATGTTTCTATAGTGCTATAATTACAAAGGTCTTGGTTGAACTAATAGTTTGCGGATCGAAATCATCTCGGGATGATGTAGGGGATGATGAAAATTGTGGTGCAAATAATGGGAAAAAGTGATATCCTCTGCAATGACTGGTTGTTGGTCTGATCTTGACATTCACCTGGAAAAAAATCGGACCTGCGTTATCATCGTCTCTATTTCGTACCTTACACCTTATTATAACTTCTTTAAATGTACTTTGGGCTTAATTAACGGGAATTGGTACATGACATACATTACTACTCCATTTAGAGAAGTGGAAAGATTGCTGAGAGCTTAACGAGATTTATGGAGATGCGTTATCACCAATTTAGTGAAAGCGAGAAAGTAAACTACGTCGCAAGGCGATAAGGTTTTGGCTTCGACGTCTTTAGAGTAGCACAAAGCTATAATAAACAAATAGTCCAACTTCCACCTGTTCAGTGCGTCAACGCTTTACACGTCGCTAGGAGCATAGGGTTGTCACATTACGTTAGTTATATCTGCCGGTTGTAAACATATTTAAAAAAATGAGGTTCATCATCAAAGGTTATTTCAGTATTCCATATTGAAACAACCTTTGTCGAATGCGGTACTTACACATTGGTATTTTATACCGTCCCTGGTTAGCATCTCGATTATCGGCAGTATAATCATGAAATAGAAATGAAATGCGAGTTTGTTTATATACAGGTATTTTACGAAAAATATTTTAAACAAACGTATCAATTTAATAATGAACGGCGCGTGCGACTCAAGCAGTGCCATTCGAGTGCACCGCGATATTATGCGAATGTGTGCATCCGTACAAGACGCGTGGCGGCTGGGCACACATACAAACCGCGGTGCTACGGTTATACTATGTCAGTATTTAGTTTTTGTTAACTTACCAATAGATGTAGCGTCGAACACCAATGGTTCAGGCTCAGTGTTAATACGCTCGCAGTTGCTAGCAGAGCGTGTCACGGTAAGCGTGGCTCCGCGTGACTCGTGTGACACAAAACAGTATCGTCGAGCAGCCGTGCTGTCGCGCGTAACTGGTGTAGTTACAACAAAAGACGCGCCGTTTTCATACCATCCTCCATGACAGGTATAAGCTGGAAAAAATTCGACACCCGAAGTTGCTCTGATGAATAGATCACATAGCTTTTTATTCAATAGTAAAAGAAAAAATAACCTAGACTTATATTTCTAAACCAAGGATTTGATATAACAGCTATGCCTTGCAGAGGGTGTGGCAATCGTAGTAGGTACAGTTGAATCTAACACACTTAAACCATTTGCTGTTCCTATTTTTGATAATGTTATCCGTTTTTCGTTTTTTGCGACACTTTATAGAGGTTATAAATATGACAAAAGCAACCTAATCAAGGAAGACTAAACATTTACTGTAGGCAAAATTGACATCCTTTCGGAAACTAAAGTCAATGTTATTTTTATTACAAATATTTGTTTATAAACTCACCTGTAACCACCTCCTTATTTTCACAAGTCGAATAAAACTCCATATTCTTGGCAGAATTACAGCCAACTTCAAGTCTCTCATAGTTGCTGATTGCGCAACTAACTTCACTTCCGTCCAATTGTCTTCGACTCCTCAACATGGGTGCATCGGACATATTTCTTACGCTAAAATTAAACAACCTAGTGCCGTTAATTCTACGATTATGTTCCAACATTGCTTTTTCTCGCTTACTCCTATAATTATCACGTATGTTCTTGTGAAGCGATCTCGCACTTCTATGATTTCGAGTTTCGATCGTATACTTTCCCGCGTACGGACATTCTTTCGATTCTGGATTACTTGCTGGAAAAAGAAAGATGTTTGTGAGTTTTTGCTATATAAAATAGTCAATAAGTGCGATTCTTCCAAGGGTTTTACTAAACCTTTAAGTATTTAATAATTGAGTATCTAATAGTTAATCATAAGTCTGTAATTGAAAAGTTCATTAGTTTTTTTTGTTTTCACCCATTATTAGGGTAGGCAAAGGTTTTACCATTATGAAGTTTGAATTTTAGTTTTGGGAAAATACATAAGTAACTAGAATGAATAGTCCTAGGTAAGTAACCACAAGACTCTAATCCATCTCCAAGCATTGTCAAGAACGCTTGGACGAAATACAAAGAAATAAATACGTGATACTGATACGATAGTATTCTACGATAATTTTACAATTTTCTGCTTGTACATGAGTGTAAATATAGAAGGTAGTAAGTAAATAATAAATAGGGTACTTCTCAACATACCGACTAAAGTAACATAAGGGGCAGTGACAGCGTTGAAGTGATGAGGGGAGCATGCGTCATCAGGCCGAGTGGTGGGCGAACCGCGCTGCAACTCCGCTATAAAGGTGTCTCTTCGGTACAACACTACACAAACGTAGCGTGATACACTGTAACAGAAAATAGGAACAATCAGAAGATATCCCACGATATGTCATTCGGTACATAACTTCTCTGCAGCTAAATAGGGCTGTTGTATTTTTACCGTTTCTTTAATTAAAGATTTTTATGGAAGGTCAAATTATAATCAATCAATCCCGATCCATGAATTTCCAAGTTTACGTTAACTTACCAATGATGCTGCCAATGCGCAACTAAAGCCACGGAATTACCACTCGGCGAGCTAGCCTTTACATTGACACAGTACACTTTGATATCTGCACCAGTCTGATTTGTGATACGGAGCGTTGCGTTTCTCTGATAGAAGGTGTAGTTACTGCTGAAGTCCAGGGTATGCCAGGTGTGGGAGAACGTCATCCAGGAAGGAAATTGGCAGTTGAAGCGGACTGACACTGAAAAGAAAAATAAATGGTAATGTTGGTTGGCAATGATGAATCAGCTGATCATACCTATAAAGAGCCCGAAACTATTTAAATCCGAAAAAAAAATCATACAGGGTTGTTTGTAAAATTCTAACAACCTCTCAGGACTGTCTTACCAACAACGGCATAAACAACAACTTTTGTTGCATGACTTCATAAATCATCCGATTTTACTTTCATACAAAAATAATAATATTAATTGGTAATGAATTTTTGTATAATGGAAATTGAGTTTACTACATTACTACCAAATCTTCTCTCTGAACGAAAAAGGCACAACTAAAGGCGCGTTCCCATTATGTCGTAACATTTTATTTATCGTTGGACGGTCGCGTCTAGCCTGTCCCATATAATGACTATCTTGATACTACGTTAACTTAATTTTTGGGCCTGTTCTGTTTTCATTTTGTTTTTTATTTCTTTTTTTTTCAACATTCGGGAAGTATAATATTAGTAAATATATATGGCTGTTTACAAAAATAACGGAAAATGACCAAAAAATAAGGTTAGCGTAGTGTTCATTGGAGGTATCGATCTGTCGCGTCTGTGTCGTGGACGTTTATTTTATCGTTGAACGACTGTCGTGTCTAGTGAGCTGTTCGACTAGGTCGTGACGACAATTTATCGGTTCACAGCCTTGTCGTTTGCACGACAGAATCGTTTGAAGCTACGATTATCTGTCTCTCGTTTTTATGGTGACGTTTACTTATCGTCAGACGACTGTCGTTCTAGATTTTCCCATCACCACGACAGTCTGTCGTCGTAACGTCAAAAACGACAGTTAATCGTGTTTTACTATATGTGAACAACATTTAAATATACAAGCCACGACACTCTAAACTGCACGACTATTTGACGTCACGACAACATAATGGAAACGCGCCCTAACATTAATGCATTTGCATTGCACATCAAAATTGAGTTACATACATATTCGGGATCAAGAATAAAGACTAATAGGTAATTGTTGGATATACAGTAAGCATCATGTCGATAATTTAGTCTGAAATGTTCTACGGAAACAAATACTTCGATGTTGTACTTACCCCGTTTTAGTGCCATAGTCCTAGAGCCTTCCGTAGCACTAAAGAGTCCATTGCACGTCGCATCACCAGATTGTGCTACTCTGTATTCTACTTCTGAAGAGAAACTTGAGCTTTCCTTCATTCCTGTGCCTGAAGCTGCGGGGAGATACAATATTCTAGTTTGTTTTTTAAGTAATATGTAGGCCGCGGTAAATGCTGCTAAGGAATTAGTTTCAAATCTTTACGAAGAGAATACCTATCTACAGCTATGGTCTGTCTTTTTTGAAGACGGAGTAATATGACAGTTCTTTGCGCAAAAGTGTTACCCGCTTGCGAGCAGCTACTGATTGCAGTCGATAAATATTCTATCGATTATCAACTGAATATTGGTCACGCTTATGAAATAAATACCCGAACCTGTTTCATTTGAATTATCCTCGACCCATTTATTCATCCAATTACTAAGCGCAAGTTCAATACAATGACGAGACATACATATTTTAGTTTTTCATTTTAATTCAATATAGATAATCAAATCCGGCTAGCCTTGTTAAAATGTTATGAATAAAAATTGACCTCGATATTCGTAGGCCAACTCTCAAAATAAGAATAAAGAGGTAACAAAGCAATCAGTAATATTTAGAACGTCGTGACATTCACAATTCACTCATTTTTGGCAAAATTTTATCTTCTTTCATAATCTATCGATACCACTATCGACAATAACTACATAACTATTTAAACATAATGAAAACTGGCAACCCTACAAATGTCATTTTACTCCGTCTTCAAAAAAGATAGACTATAGTAAGAAAGTTGTATGTATGAAAACCAAATCGACCACAATATGGAATGAAACAGTGCAACAAGAGCAAATTATTATTATTAAATCTAAATATAGAACATGAATGAAAAATCCAAGATTTTAAGACGAAATGACTTCAGGAGTGAATGAAGACAATGAGATAAAAAGCGAAATAATAATGAAGAGAGCTACAACTATCTTACCAATACCATTTGTCTTCTCGTAAACGAAACATCGGTATCTGTCCTCGTTGCTAGTTGCATGGTTGTGATGTAGTTTTCCAACGAGGAACCGGAGACTCCCTTCTTTCCACGTAGCTAGACATTCCAGTTCTTCCACTGCAAAAAAAATGCGTACTATTGGCAAAAGTTATACGGAACATGTATACCAAAAAATAAAGGTACTAGAGTGTCCGCTGTACGAAATGATGCCTTAATTTTGGTCTTGTTTGACAGGAAAACGGTAAAACTTACGTATAACTTTGGCGGTGGCCATTTTTTTTACCCGACTTCGAAAAAGGATGAGGTTTTCAATTCATCGGTATATTTTTTTGTATACTCCGACATTTGTGAGTTGATTTCGATGATTCTTTATCTTTTTTGGTGGAACGTGCGTACAATAGTAGTTCTATTCAAGTTTGAAGAAAATATTAGAGCTCTAAGTGTGGCAAATTACGGATGAATCCGGTTTATTGTGTGTTGTTATACTGGTTTTTAATCATTTATAATTATAATAATATTTTGCATTTTAATATTATTAGTGTATTGTTATGCCTATGTGTGTAAAGATTAATTATATATATTTTTGTGTGTTCTTGACCATTCAGGGCTGTGGCAGAATATCAGCGAGGACAATAATAAGTAATGATAATAACAACGCACACACTCAACATAGCCCCGCACTAGGGAAACCCTGTGCCGCTGGTACCATGAAGACACACATAGACAACCACAAATTACACCCAAACTCACGAGAGAAATAATATAGACCATACAAATATGTCTCCCGGCTCGGGAATCGAATCAGAGACCTCTGCGTGGCAGTCCGGCATGGTAACCGTTCGACCACAGAGGCAGTTAAAATGTTTCGTCATTATCCTCTGTAGCTGAGTTATAGACCCATTTGGCGTGTGTTTTTGCTTATTACTATTAAGTTGTATTGCATGTCAAATAACCTTTTCTATTTTTTCTAACCGTTTTCAATAAAACCTAGCAAATAGATATAATTCAAACGACAATAAAATGTTATAGTGACCTAGAGATGATCTGGTGTTGGAAATGGCAGACAGACGAGAAGAACTCGTCAACAACGTACACCAGCTAACCTTGTGTATGGTCTCATATGATTTGTTTGGACGAGGACTTCCATATTACCTATGTGTTTCAGTTACCGTTGAGGAGACCGCGATATCGAACACTAGCAAATTGAGGTATTTTTTATAAAAAATTATTAAATATATTTAGGTGTGCATGCTATATCGTCGACCTCATCGTCACTTTAAATGAGATGAAATGGAGGTCAAATGCGCACTTACATTTGTATAAAAAAAATAGGCCTCAAATTCGAGCAGCAGGGACACAGGCAACACAAATTAAAACCATTTGAAAAATGTATATCGTATAGGTATTATTCGTGTTCTATCTAGTTCAATTGATATTAAAAAATACAGCGTTTTTCTTGTAAATTTTTACGAATCGTGTTTTTACACCGTATAGTAATCAATGTACATCCTCAATTTTACTATATATTTTTTCCAAATTCAACACTTTCTCTGTTATGCGGAATACACCAAAGCCATTTGAGGTTGTTTAGACTCATAAACAAAAAAGAATATTTTTATCTAAGAGCATGATTAATTTTGTTGTATACTTAGAATAATAACCATTGACATAACGCATAGAATGATAGTTTCATATCAAACGAACTGTCACAAATGAGGCAAAAATAAAATTAATGTAGGCTAGTTTTAGTAGTAGGTTAATTTTCGGTTTTAGTGAATATTTATATAAAAATACAAGTAGAAATGCGTTACTTCCTTGTGGAATGTGATGTTAGTATCTATTTTATGTTTGTCTGACGTATATTTACACTCATTTACCGCACATTTCGTCATTTTTAGCTAAAATTCTTGATCTGTTCGCGGTGCAAGTTGACCTTGAGCACTGAAGACCCGCCCGCTCGTGTAGGCCCATTGGGCGCGCTTCAATTTGCCTCACTTAGCGTGTGCGGACTAGGTTTCTATGCGTTATTATTCTAAGGTTGTATATATAATTTCTCTGTGTGTACTTACATATTGCAAATCCTGTAGTCCTCAATATCCAAAATAGTCTACGCTAAATCTAGACCAGACTATAGATCATCGAGTATATAACCAGAAATAGAGACGAAATAAGGGCCATATATTCCTGGTAACACATTAGCAATACAGCTCTTATAAATATCAACTCTCGTCTGCACTAAAATATAGACAGGTCAACTACTGACCTGTGCGTACGTCTCCGTATATTCCAAAAAATATTCTGTATTTATTGTAATAAAGATAATACCTTTAATAATGCCGTGCTGTTCTGTTCGGTGGTATGGGAAAAACATCAAAACATCTAATTACAAAACAAACGAAATCAAATTTCATCATTTATATCATATCATATCATAATTTACATTGACTTAAATGATAATTTAGCAATTTTCGTTTATTATAGCAACGCTCAAGTTAACTAGTCGATAAGAAGTGAAACAGTTGATGACACCTATTGACGACACCCGTCAATTGTTTCGAACTTGGGCTGGCCAATCGGAGCGCAGTTGTCACAGTAATGATATGGCACAATAGTTTTCAAACAAATTAAATGACATTATGCCTCTACTTCTGGTTATATACTCGATGGTATAGATAAACATTTTGCCTGAGTCCTACACCCACGTATCAAATTATTATTACATTAGCGAGAGATTCGTCACCAAAAATAGCTCAGTAGACATCAAGTGGTGGCGAACATGTTCCCGACAGACATGGAACTCATTATTTTCTCTCTAAATTCCTAATCCTTGTTAGAGACGAAATACGGCACGTATTAAGTATGCTCTAACGACTTAATTTCTGAAATTAATTCTACAAATAAATTACTTTATAATTGCGCTTTTACCACATAAGTATCATACAAAGTATAGGAACACGTATCAAACATTTCTGCTCAATCGGATAATGAACATTGGTTTGAAATCGATAGGCTATGAATTTGATTAGTAGCAGCAGAGCTTCTTGTGAGTTCGTCAACTGAAGTAGGTACTGCCACCAAGTAAAGTGAGCGTTACTGCGTTCCGGTTTTGAAGGGCTGGTGAAATTATAGGCACATGGGAATTGCCCCTCAGATTTTTGCGATTTAAAGTTCTGAGCGACATTACAACTGCTATGGACAGGCATGTGGCTTACCACCAGGCGCATGACTTGTTCGTCACATGGTATCATAAAAAAATAATACAAATACAAAGACTTACGTAGATGTCGTTATATGAATATTTAGGAAAAAAAAATAAAACTAATTTAGCAAAAGTGAGTGATATTCTAGTTTTTAAACGACTTCAAAAAAGGAGGAGGTTCTTTATTCGTCTGTATTTTCTTTGTATGCATCTTACGCGGTAACTCCGGCTTTGTGAACCGATTTCGATGATTGATTTCTTGGAAAGAGGATACGTCAGTAGTGATCCCGTTTAAATTTGAAGATAATATTCCACCTCTAAGGGCGGCAAACTAGGGGATGAATCCGATTTCGCGCACTTTCCGGTAACCGATTTCAATCAAACTTGGCAAATAGATGTAATTCCACGAACTTTTGAGGTCGGTTTTTTAGTACTCTGTACTGTGATTATTTTTGTCCACGATTATTCTAGCGGTAGACTGCCAAAATACATTTATTTCATGTGGTGATAATGTGACTTGCTTGTGAATGTGAAATCAAACAGATAGTACAAAAGCAATTCTTGTAAATTTTCACTAATGAAAAAGATGGAAATATGAAAGCAGTCGCTTATTCGAGTTCTAAAATATTCCGTCTGGTCTGAATACAAAGCTCTAACTTCTCAATAATATCCGAGATTCGTCGCCGAGAATAGCGAAGTGATTCGCCAACGAAGGAGACAATCGGGACGGACGCTCTCGCACAAATAAAACTTTTATATACCCGACGGCGTTAAGGGAGAGTTTCTTTCTAATAACGCTTTTGTAGTAATAAGCATAAGTTTGAGAGCGAAAAAGTGCTATGTTGGACTTGTCGGGAGAATACGGGTTATAAGTACAAAAGTGGGGTGCACGAAAGGAGCCTCTCTTTATGACATATTATTTATATTACCTGTACGTCTGGCGCTACGGAAGAAAAAAAAACAATGGAAGTGCCTAAAGCCTCGATTACTATCAGAACCGATTTTCGCCAAAACTCACACATTCTTCATTGGTCATAGTTTCAAATTTAAAAAATAACAAATTCTGGATTGTTAATATAATTTAAACTTTACCCTGTTGGCGTATCGTTGAAAGTTCAATATCATTAATACCCATTACACAAGTTACGACGCTTTGATATTACATTGAAATTTCATAAATGTGCTGCCATCTAGCGGCTCATTGCTGAACGACGACGAATTGGAGTTATTAATTTAGTTCTCCTATACTACCACGGGTAATATTTTTGATGCGGCTATCATTTTTGCACTGCAAAAAAGCACAATGAGGCATTTTTCTAGGATTTTAGAGAATTTGCACGAAAGAATGACACAACCATACCATACACAGTGCAAATGGCGGACTGAGCGCAGATAGGTCTTTCGAGATCTATAGTAGGTACGCGTCTGACGCTAACTAACGATTTCTACTGTATTTATTGTATTTACTGTATCTGGCGCGGCCTAGGCAACAAATAGCGAGATCCTACGTGGATTTACAATTCCTTTCACCACAATGGCAACCACTTTCCCATAGTTCTGGGCTGCAAGTCTATGCCATCGATAACAAGAAGAATTATAAAATTACGACGATCATTTATTTCTTTATTACAAACTTGTTAACAAATAAAAACAAGCAGTGATGGGAATTGAGGGAGTTTGTTTTGTAATAATGTGGACATTCCCTTCTACAAACTTCGGGACTTCTCGGAACTGATCATATTTGAATATGCGTATTATTTATTGAAGTTTGAGTACATTGGCGACAAACTATTATTTCCTATTAAGTATTTGCTACAAATTATCGTTTCAAAAATTATATTCTAGTTGTGTTTCTATAGGTACTTAGGTACGTAAGTACCTTAGTAGCAGGAGAGGTCCTTGTGAAAGAGTTCGTCCA